TACTAACCAGAGGGAAGAGCATAAATAGGCACACGAAGAACATGTTCCTCAAGACAGTCCAGGCTTTGGGCTGGAAGGTTTTCCAGGCCTTTGCAGGGTAAGCACATCTTCCTAGGCACTAATCAAGGACAAGTGAGGGTGAGCTTGAAGGCAAGGATAACTGCCTTGGAAGAGGGGACGGTGAGTGAGGCAGCTGGGACATTCAGGGCTGTGCTAGAGAAGAGATGATAGGGCACATTTTCAGTAATGTGAGTCTTCAGGAGACTTGGGTTGGTAGGGGAAGGGTGTAACCATCAAAGAGGAAAACAACATTCCCCCACTCACCTCCACTGTTGAGGAAGGAACACTATTATGTACCTAAAAACTCAAAGAACATTGCTGACATCATCCAAGAACCAGAAATGGGGACATTTAAATGTTCCACATGGCTCTTTTCTGGAATTGGTCAAGTGTAGAGGTTGCTGGAATTTCACTCTAGTTCTCCATAATAGCAGTGGGTTTCCATTCCTGGAGATAAAGAAAAATGTCTTGCAGTAGATTTTCAACATTGCAAATTCAGATGAAACATCCAGCAATTGTAGAGGCACTCTGGTGCAGTATTTGGAAACCTGGGCTGAGATTTATCATTGTGTGAACGTGGGCAAGTTACCTACCTTCTTTGAGACTCAGTTTTCTAATCTGTAAAATGGGAATAATACCAGTTGCACAAGACAAGTCCCTTAGTAGTACAAACAGCTAATGTCATTGGCTTTAGAGTACAAAGCTGGAAGTTTGAGTTCACTGAGAGGCACCTCAGAAGAAAAACCTGGTGATTCACTTCTGAAAAAGTCAGCCATTTAAAATGTTACTCGATGCTATGTCCCTTCAGGCCACAGGTGAGGGACTCTGCTATCAGACAGAGATTATTGTAAACTTGGTTATGGTGGAGTGTACCAAGGTATGATACTTGGTCAGTTGACCTCCTTCTTGACCCAACCTGAATTTGCTTAAATATGTGTCGCTTGTTCCGTGACAGAAATTTCTTCTCTGTTTTTAAAATATTGTTGGTGGTCTTTTGTTTCTTGCTCTTTATTTTTATCTTTATGTTGTTGTTATTTTATTCTTTCGGTTTTGTTTTTATTTTTTATTGTTTCTGTTAGGTTTCCCAGTTTATGAAGCACAGGAGGAGTGAATGCACAGAGACAATACCTGAAGCAAAGGTTTATCAGGAATGGGGATGCAGTGGGGTGGGGAGGGTGAGGGGAACTGAAGAGCAAACAATGAATGTGGAGGAGGGAGAGAACACTTAGAACTGATTGTGCTGACAACTCTTTATTATTATTATTTTAATCATTTTATTAGAAGCTATTACAGGTATCATAACATTCCACAGTTCAATCACTTCAAGCAGTATTGTACAATTGGTACCACAATCAGTTTCAACCCATATAATTAGGCAAACCATCAATGTCCTAGCCTTTCTTCAACCATATGTTTTCTTATTGTTCAAACTAGGACATTGATGGTTTGCCTAATTATATGGGTTGGACATGG